CAGCTTGTGCATGTCACCAGAATATTTTTTTGTAAACTTAAATTTGTAAAGGACTACTTGCCCCCCATCTGATAAAGGAGGGGTTTTTTATGAAAAATAAGATAATATCACTGTGTGTGCAGAAAAAGATCACTAAATTAAAGAAACACTCACTTTCCAAATGACAGATTAAATCAGAAGAATGTGCCTACAACTGAGAATTACATAATTGGACTAAAAGAAAACATAATAAATAATTGTTAGTTGTCAAGTACCTAGACAGTTCTGAAAGAAGCAGGACCTTCATAGCACTGGAAGGTTGTTACGTGATTTAAGGTGAGATAATCTGATAGATTTTCACCTATAAAATTTTTATTCTTACATACATCTATGTTTTCTACTTCTAACGTTGAATTTACCAAAATATTTATTTGGGTTTATACATACATCTTCATGAGTGCCACATCCTATTCTAAATGCTACATATGTTTTTGCTCATCTTAAAAACAATCCTGGGTGGTAGCTACTATCATTGTCCCCATCTTAAATGAGAAAACTGAGGCACAGAGAAGTAACCCAAGATCACACAGCTGCAGGACAGGACTTTATCATATCTGCAAAGATCTGATAAAATAAATTATCAGATCTTTTTTATTTAAATAAAAACATTTATTTAAAAAGACATGATTTTAAAATTTACTTATTCTCAATTTTATTTTTTATTTAAGCATAAATGATGAAAGTTTCCCGTGAAGCATAAGAATCCCTGATTGTGGACGTGCCCCACAAGCATCGTTAACTACAAAGTAAAGAAAAGTATGAAAGAACCAACTGATTGAGCCTAAAATTGGAAGATCACCACATCCACCGGAAGACCCAGGATGGATCTGCACCAAAGCACCACCATCACGTTCCTGGAGAAATGGTGTTTGGATGAGTCACTGTCTGGCTGCAGGAGACATTATAATGTCAAGAAAAAACTGAAGTTAATTCGAATCTTAGGCCTTTTCATGGGTCTGGTAGCCATTAGCACTGTCTCATTTTCAATCAGTGCCTTTTCTGAGACAGATACACAGAGCACAGGAGAGGCCAGTGTTGTCAGTGGCCCTAGGGCAGCACAGGGTTACCATCAGAGAACTCTCTTAGATTTAAATGACAAGATTCGGGATTATACTCCACAGCCACCTCTTTCAAAGGAAGACAAGTCGGAGAATAGTACAGATCATGCCCAAGGAGACTACCCGAGAGACATCTTTTCCCTTGAGGAGAGAAGAAGAGGTGCGATCATTCTCCATGTCATTGGAATGATCTACATGTTCATAGCCTTAGCCATTGTCTGTGATGAGTTCTTTGTTCCTTCATTGACTGTCATCACTGAAAAACTGGGCATCTCTGATGATGTGGCTGGAGCCACCTTTATGGCTGCAGGGGGGTCAGCCCCAGAACTTTTCACGTCTCTCATAGGGGTATTCATCGCTCACAGCAACGTTGGCATAGGCACAATTGTAGGTTCCGCAGTATTCAATATCCTCTTTGTTATTGGCATGTGTGCTCTGTTTTCTAGAGAAATCTTAAACCTGACATGGTGGCCACTCTTTCGAGATGTGTCCTTCTACATTGTTGACTTGATCATGCTGATCATATTTTTCCTGGATAACGTTATCATGTGGTGGGAAAGCTTGCTTCTCTTAACAGCTTATTTTTTCTACGTGGTTTTCATGAAATTCAACGTCCAAGTCGAAAAATGGGTGAAGCAAATGATAAACCGCAATAAGGTCGTCAAGGTGACAGCACCAGAAGCCCAAGCAAAGGTTGGTGATGGTGTTTTTTTTTATTTAATGCTTTTCTTGACCACAGTCCTGAATATTATGTTTTCGAGATCTGCAACTTTTTTGGTGTGATGATGTTTGGGGCTCTTGTGGATAGCAGATTGATTCTGAAGTTCTGTGACAGCCAGACTAACATAGCAATGGAAAAAATAATTTTAGGGTATTCTTTCAGATGTTTACTAAGTTCCCCAGCTACTTGCTTCAGAGTAAAACACTTGTAAATAGAGGTTACCTAAGCCTCCCAGAGCCGATTCAGCAGTTACTGGTTTCTTATTTTCTGAAAGTAGGCATAATGATTTTGTGAGCAATTTAATTTTCTTAGGAAAGTGTGCATGTGCCTAAAAAGTTGCAAGGCCTTTTCTTTTTAAATGAACACATGACAATTACCAAGAAAGAACCATCTCTTTAGATATGTCTGAGGAAGAAAGTTTGCATCACCATAGCTGTACCTTCCAGTCAGCAGCCCAACCTAGCAGGTCTGGTCATTATTGTTATCATGGCTGTTTTCGTGATTGACACAATCATGTCTTAGATCACTTGACCAGGAACTGATCAGCATCCATTGTAAAGAGAGTCATTGGCCAGCCCTGCCATCTGCCTTTGCATCATTATGACCCATTTTGTACACCATAATAAACATGACTTCAAATATTTTTAGAGTAGAATTTGAGAGAGTTTTAATAACAATAGTGGCCATCCTGCCACTTTGATGGGTGGAAAGCATATTGGTAAAGAGCTTAGAAGTAATTCCTGCAAACATGTAAATTATGTTTTTAAATAGCAATAGCAGACAAGTGGCATCAATAAAATTGTATGTGGTATTGTAATGCAGTTCTGATTTATATGCTAGCAGTGGAATGTCATCTCTGAGTGTGCTTTTAAACAGAAAGCCAAAATATATACATAGACTTTTCATGCCAGCATCTGGGAAAATTCTCATATATGCAAAAAAAAAGCACACACACACACACACACACACACACACACAAAACAGATGTTTGAGCAGGGGGTGAGAGATTTTGTCCAAAAAGAAAAGAAAAATGATATTAATTTAGTTAAATTTACATAATTCTTTTATAGTCAAGTTTGATGACCGTCATTTTCATTGCAGCCACAAAATGGAAGCAAAGTGCAGGAAAAAAAACTAGTAATATTTCTACTTATTACATGCAAAAGAGAAATGGTTTGTACTACGTTTCTAACATTTCTCTTGGTGTATGCTCACTTGTTAGAAACTATAGTAAAACCAAAAAATCACTTAGCAAAATATATGGCAAACAAGCATTCAGATATGACAGTACATCTTCAGGGCATAAGACAGGACCATCATTGGAAGTTCTCCCCTAACTTGGCAGCCAAAAAAATTCTTGAAGCGCTCTCTTCGAGTCTGTTCGGGTGGTTTACATTGATAGTCTTGTGTTTATTGGAGTTAAAGTACTGAACAATTGTCAAGGAAATGCATATTTTTTAGAGGCAAGGAAATGATTTGATGTCTTATATATTTCTTGGGCATATCCATGGTGAAAAGTCTTTTTGAGAACTCAGTACTTTCTTGGTTTCTTACACCCTAGTGGAACTTCATTAACTTAGAGACTTGGCTGAATATTATATTGGCAACATTTATGAAAAATGAATCTGCAGAGCAATCCAATGGTGTATATACGATTGCGGGAGGATTTTGTATTCTGATTTTAGTGGGGTGGAAGATCCTTTAGTGGAGTAGAAGATGGTTTCATGCATTTTAGAGATAGTTTTCCAAATACAGGTTTTAGACTGTATTTAATCCATTATAAACCATTTATTAAAATACCCCTGGAAGGATCTTTACCTACTCAACTAGCTGATGGTTGTATTCTTTTTATGATTATTTTTAAGTCAAAAATTCAGGCTGTCATCCCTTATCACTTGTTATTTATAACCATAATTTTGTGCTATACTTAATATTGTGTGAATCCTAAAATTTGGAAATTCTAGATTTACTTAATTAAAAAAGAAAGCAGGTTATATTCCTAATGATTTCTGTTTCTGGTTTGCCCCCAAAAATGTTCATTGTATTATTTTCCCTTTAGCACCAAATAGTTTTAATTTATTCCATTTAGTCATTAATGTTTCTTTTGACATTCAATAATGAAAGTAGAGATTTTTTTCTAAACAAACCTGTGACTTATTTGGTACTTCTCAAAAAATGCTAGGCACAGTCATACGTTTTTAAGTGGAATGTGCATAAGGATGTGTAATTTTTTTAGGAAGTTTCACCTTGCCAATTTTATTTTTGAATTATTGCTGGAATTTTTTTCAGCCATTGCAGCCTTTACCAAATGCCTGATTTCAGAAATTTATGGAGGTTTGCTCCCCAAGTACTGAACATAAAGTGTTCAAAAGAGGGATGAATTCTTGAATGTGGTCATCTAGTCCCCTGGGCTGCAGAGGTGAATTCTGACTGTGTAGCTTGCCTTTCTTATAGAAATGCTTCTGGCATCACCAAGACATTTAGGAAAAAAAGACTTGAAGCCAAATGTGGTCTTCAATGGAGTCTTCATAGAGAGAACTGTGCTGTACAAGAACTTAGGAAGCAAAATACTAAGCATGTTTTCATGCAAAGCCATTTCATTGTCCTGTTTTGCAAAATTATGGGACATGGGAGTTTGGGAAGGTAGAGGAAACACATTTTAGATATTCTTATGCAAATCGTCAAATGGTTCTTGCTAAAAAGTCAACTCTGCTGGGCTCTAGGCAGTGAATATCTTTGAAACTGCTTGCTTCATAGACAAATAGAAAATCTTAATTTGGTTCCATTATTGATGATGTACCTCATAGGGTAACTGTGAAGCATGGAAAAATGTAAACTGGCATTTTATTTTCATAGTTCAAGCAACAGTTTCTCATCTCATTTAATTGCTCTACCTCGTGTGTGGTTCTTGTTTTTATTGTTGTTATTTCTTTTAGTGATGCTGTTACCCTTTTAAAAAAGTTGTATACTGTCATGACATACTGAAGAAACCCTGGGGCTTTAACTGAAAAAGGAAAGAGTTTTTAGCCTGGTTGTGTAATAAACCCAGTGATTTCAGAGAAGTCATTTTAACTCTCTGAGCCTCGGTTTACTAACTGGAAAATGAGAATAATGATTCCTACTTCATAAGATTAGTAAAATTATTAAGTGACGAAATGAATGTTAAGCATCTAGCAGGATCGTTGGAAAATGTGGGTTTTTTCCAATAAGTGTTAATTGCCTTTTATGTTTCATTCTTAAATGAAAACTGAATTGGAATAAATTATTATAGATTCAAGAATTATAAAACATTCCTTGAAGACTGAATTTGCTCCAGTGAATCCTTGAGTTAAGCAGGCCATTATACCCCTTAGGGTTATATAATATTTGCTGTATTATAATATTCATAAGCTCTAGTTCACATACAGTGAATATATATGGGCCAAATATTAACTCCAAGGAAACTTCAAAATGTCTTTATTTTGTCCTGAAATTTTATCATTTGGAATTTTACTTAAAGTGGATAGCCCATTGGCTGGGACTTAGCAATATCCATACTAAGCAGAGACTTTTGCTTTGGGGGTATTTTTATTTATAGATGGTTGGAGCTCTCTTCTTAAAACATATCTATAGCTCGTTAGGAATAAGTTTGAATCCTACAGGATGTGAAGCAGTTAAGTTTCAGGTCATTCGGCTCATTTTGCTGTGCTCCTGGCCTGGCTGCTGGGGGCCCTTGATCTGTTATGGTGCTAGGCTGTCATTGGCCTAGAAAGCAGCTGTCCATGGTATTTAACTTCGTCTTAGACTTGGCACTGTAATCTGACAGCAAGTTGGCCTGGTTCTAATGAAGGGCACAATCTAAATAAAGATGCTTAAAGCTGGATAGTTGGAGGACCAGACTACTTAGTAATTTAGGTGCGCTTTGCTTTATTCAGTTTGTATGTTTCCGAAAAGCTGTTAACAGTTTTTGCAATTCACATTGTGATTAATGTTCTTTGGGAAGTCAGGATTAAAACAAAATTATTATAAATATTCTTCATAAAGTGAAGTATTTCTTGTGACGTACTAAATCATAAATAATTGTACAAGTGTACATGTGTTGCCCCAACTTTGCTTAAGATGCAGAATTTATTAATTAGTAAAATTAATACATAAACTTCAAAGTAGATAAGATGGTCCTTATATTAAATAAAAAGATGTATTACTTGATAGATTTGGAAACTAATTCTCTGTTTTTCTTAAAAGAAAAAAATGTAGGCATTAAAATTTTTAACTGACTGTGAAAGTAGTGTGTTTATGTGTCTAGGGATACAGCATTGTGATATTTTTCTTGTTTTGTTTCCTTCTACTTATCCTAAAAGTAAACCCATCAGTTACTGTTTGTGATTCAGAGAGTGAACGAGGCATTTTGAGAGACTCCAAAGGGCCCAGTGGGTTTTGATACACACGGTTCCAATTGCCCTTGGCCATTCCCATTCCTATTCAGGTTTCGCCTGGCAACAGATGACCTAAACTTTGTGAATCCTAGAGAACTGAAGTCACCGTGTCTCTCCCTTCCACCTTCCCCCACTTCGTCCATTCCTCTCTTTGTCCTTCTTTTCTTCTCCTCTTCCCTCCTTTTCTTTCGTTCCCCCCTCCTCTTTTTTGGTAGAACCAGATAATTTGTATCTTAACTTTAGCAAAGAATGGGATTATTTGTTACTGGGGACACAAGTACATCCACAGTGTGGATTTGACAGGTTTAGTTTTTCCATTCTTTTATTTTCAAACTTCTTTTGTTTTAGATAAGTCTCTAGTAACCAGAATGTAGATAAACTTTATTTCATTTAGTTTAACAAGCATAATCTTGTAACTGGGAAGTTGAGTTTGTTTACATTGACTGTGATTACTATAATACTTGGATTCTTTTCCATCATGTTACTGTATACTTTCTATTTCTTCTGGTCTTTCTTTTCACAATTTTTTCTTGCCTTTTTTTGGATTTTTTTCTAAC